ATGGCTTGAAAACTAAAGTCAAATGAAGAAATAAACAAGCTTTTGTATAGTTATAAGAGATCTACAGAGGTTTCTTTGTCGATTTAATTTATTATATAGTCTCAATTAGAATTCAGAATTATCTCACTGAAAAGTTAAGAAACCGACAATGTTCTCGATTGTAGTTATTTTCACTTTGCCAGCAGACGATCTAGCGTTGTTTTGGCAAAAAGCTAGCCCGCCACCTTCCCACCTCGAACCTTTCGAGTTCCGTTAAAATTGCGCGCTGCTGAGCTCCGAAGGTGAGTTGGTATCGCTGGCAAACTCTCAGCCGGCTAGCTCCCCACGACGGACCATTCGCGGTATGGCAAGAGTATGTGTGCGAGGTACGATTTTGGATTCGAGAACGCACGTAACGCAACCGCGCGCGTCATTTTCAGCTGTCGAATGTCTACGACCAATTTTACATGTACGATTTTTAGTACAGATAGATCTACTTGGTCAGTTTTCTTCTTATAGACTCTATCTTTGGTTTTACAACATTTAAAAATATAATTTCTTCAAATTTGCTCCTGACTCGTCGGTTCAGACTAATTGTCTGATGTGTTTTCAAGTCAATTTTTTTAATATATTTTTTTGCATGAATTTGCCTAGATCTAGATCTACTAGACCTAGCCTTAAGGGCTCTCTCGAAATGTTTTTTTAATGATATTATTCGAGAGAGCCTTAAACGGCTCCCATACCCCTGCACGGAGAGGCATGTAAACAAAACTCAAAAGTGGTCCAAAATCACACTTTCGCGCACCCGACCAATATTGGACAGTGGCTTTGATAAATTTTGTCGTAGTTTTGGTCTTAATTAGCGCTTTAATTTCAAAATCGGATCTAAAAATAACAAAATAAGAGCAATTTTCTTACCAGACCGATACAGCTCAGCTCCCTTTTCACGTGTACCGTGTGAATTCACGATGTCTACACAATGGTGATGACCTCTGACTGGCACTTCCGTAATTGTGGGTAAATTGTGCTGCTTCCGTATAATGCGCTGTATGAGTGTTATTCAGCGCATTATACGGAAGCAGCACATTTACGAAGTGCTAGTCAGAGGTCATCACTATTGTGTAGACATCGTGAATTCACACGGTACACGTGAAAAGGGAGCTGAGCTGTATCGGTCTGGTAAGAAAATTGCTCTTATTTTGTTATTTTTAGATCCGATTTTGAAATTAAAGCGCTAATTAAGACCAAAACTACGACAAAATTTATCAAAGCCACTGTCCAATATTGGTCGGGTGCGCGAAAGTGTGATTTTGGACCACTTTTGAGTTTTGTTTACATGCCTCTCCGTGCAGGGGTATGGGAGCCGTTTAAGGCTCTCTCGAATAATATCATTAAAAAAACATTTCGAGAGAGCCCTTAAGGCTATACTAGACCTAATACGCGGAATCCATTTTTCGCTTCGCAAGCGCCCTTACGAAAACCGGAAACCCACAGACCATGGATAAAGAAAAAAAAAGGGGACAATCCTTAATTTTCATAAATAAGGACGCAATTTGTCTGCGATTACAAGGATATCCTCGTTTATGCGGACGATCATCATTCTCGGACCAGCGCCCCTACTGCTCAGTGATGTACACGCCCACGTCGCGCGCGTCTGTCCAGCGGCGCGCTGCCTAAGGCTGCCCCCACAGCATGGGCATGGCTCACCAGCTGTGCCGCACATGAACTTCACGCTCGACAAATAAGGCCAGCACGATTTATTGATCAACAAATAACTTTGACATTCACTCATACTCACTCACATTAGCATTTATTATCATAATTCACAATATGTATATAACCCGTACAGTCACTTACGTATCCAGAGTCCGAAGGGATTTCTCCTATTCAGTATATTTGTGCATCTAGACCCGCCTCTGCGTTTGAGAATTATGAAATCTCCTATGCGATCTCTCTGGCTAGGCTCTGTCAACATTATAAACTTCCGGTATTCGGTTAATCTCGACCCCTAAAAAACTCGCTCGAAAATATTCCGCCATTTTCTCTCGCCAACTCAATACCATGAACTCATGAGAATTATTGAGGGGGTTTATTATTTTATTTTTTGTTGTGTATCTATTTTTTTATTTCATCTTCCATGGTATTTACATATAATACTTACAACTGCTAGAGGCTTTTTTGGATGATGGCAACTTTTCTAGCTCAGCGTCAGACAATAAGCAGCAAGAATGCAAAGAAGAGACATTTAAAGTATCCGCTATTTAAAATTGTTTCAATCTACATACAGTGGCTTAGCAAGGGCTTACGCATTGGGCAGGGGGGGGGGGGGGCAAGTCTTAAGTCTACTAAATCAGATTTTTAAAATATTTTTGTATTTTCTCACGGCATCCTTTTAGGAGTTAAAAAGAGGATTTGTTTTCCATCCTATGAACACATAGACGTAATACTCGGGGCACCGATTGTTGCGTTAGGGTCGTGAGGGCCTCGTTACCGAAAAATTAATTATCCAGATCCCGAATATTGCGATCGGGCGAAGCGAGCGAGCAAAATGAACAAATACCCTTTTATAACGGCAAACATGTTATATACTTTTTTTAAATACACTAGATAAAAATAAAAATATATTTGGTAATCTCGTCGTCACGAAGTGATTTATCAATTTTGATCAAATGAAATTAACGGATAAGGGGGAAAAGACATTGTGGTATAAAAAAAATTTGATATAAATGTACAACAAATCTGATAAAATATTTGGGCACCCTGCTATCGCCATGATGGGTATATTCATGAACCTCGATGCCTGAAAAACTTGTTTATAAATTGCAGGCGAGCGTATTCCATATCTCTGAAAGGTTACTATCCTTATCAAAATATATACCCAAATTGATGGTTTCTGGTACTCTTTTTTTCCTTTAAGTTGAAATGATTCCAAAAGATATGTTTAATACAATTAAAGTTCTCTTATACGGCAACCTGTGATGCCAGGATACCCCGGTTTTTAAACGCTGTATATTATAGATGGTCAAAATTAGAGTGGGCAGATTGACCAGACTTGGGGGATATATCCCTTTCCCCATTTAAGTGGGAACATTTTTGCATTTGAAAGTGAAACGGACATACTTTTCCCGAGTATGTCTTCTTCCTTAATTTCACTCATATTTTCATGCTTTTTTCTTCTCTGCTTTACACTACTAGGACGCAGATCGGATCACATTAAAGCATGTTTTAGATATTAAAGGTAATACAAAGTTTTTGGAAATTTTGAAAATAGGCAAAATAGTAATTCTTTACAATTTTGATATATCTGGATGCTCCTGTGGATGTATATGAGCACTAAAAAATTTAGCCCCTGAAACATTTTTACTTTCGAGAAATATTGGATATAAAAGTTTATCGGTGCTTCGACCATGAAAATCTCAGAATATGTAGTTGTGGTATGTCATTTCCAAACGGGAATAGCCGATTGGTCAATTTTAATCAAGAAACATTGTTTTATGGCTTTATTAATATCTTGACCTTGAGAGGGAGCTATACAACATAAAGAGTTCATGATTATTTAAAATTTCATAACTTAAGACTCGATTTCAACCGCGACAATGATCACTGAATATTGTAGGATCGCATATGCTTCCAATATGTTCATTTGAACCAAATTCATGACCCCATGGCATACCAAAACTTTGTATTACCTTTAATGCACCTCTTACAACAGATTTCATAGAAGACTTAATATCATGTCCCCATGTTGCTGATTCACATAATAGTAATATAATTTATAGAGCATTTTCGAGCAATCTGTATATCCCAATATATTATTTCAGGTTCTTTTTTTCTTTTGATATGCGAATAAAATGCGTGATGTTAATAAAGTTTACGGCATTCTAGAACCTGCAATTGAGAGCCTCAACCCTATAATGGTTGAGTCCAGAAAAACACAAACTGCTAAAATGAAACCATCTGATGCATGCATGGGATTAGAACTAAAAGAAGACCAGCAGAGAATTAGAGCTTCAGATAGACAAAGAAAGAGAATAGAGGAGAAGGGAAAGAAATAAATTAAAGAAGAAGCAAAGGAAAACGAAGAGTATAAGACGGAAACGTACGTTGGGAAAGGAAGCTAGAAAGAGAAGGGGAAAATTAAAAGAAAAGCCGAAGAGAAAACTGGACTACTGGAGAAGATATAAGAGGAGCTAAAGTCGAACATAGTCGAGAAGAGAATAGTAATGGAGAATAAAGAAGTAAAGAAAAGAGAGGGAAGAAAAAATAAGAAGAAAATATTGGAGCAGGGGGAAACTTGGGAGATGGCTATGAAGGGGCGACAAGAAAAAATAGAACAGGTCTATATAAAGAGAAGCAATGACGAGAAGAAAAATGAATTGTGAAAGAAGAAAATTAAATTGTATCTTATATAGTAGAGAAAGAATGACTAAACGAATGAAAGAAAGCGAAAAAGAAAATAATGAATAATGAATGAAAAAAAAAAAAGTATTTATACCGCATTTACCAACATTCTTAATGACTTGGTCGTATTATCAGTATTGTGAAAATGTAAAGATTTATTTGTTGTTGGAAAGTTGTCTGACTTTTTAAACTTTTCAACACAGCTACTTTGTCTAAATCATTAAAAAAAAAAAGGATGGCATGTTGATCTATAATACCCCTTTGATGTTCATATTTTATGTAAAAAGCCAGGGTAAAAAGAAAAAGGAAAAAAATCACATCGATCTATATATGTATAACAGATCTCACACACACTATGAATATGACTGACAAAGAAAGCGGACAAAATATACAGTTCCTCAAGTAGACAAAGGAACATCCCTTCACTGCTATTATGTAAAAAGGTGAATATGCATGTGACACCTGTTCTACACATTTTTACATAATAGCAGTGAAGGGATGTTCCTTTGTCTACCTGAGGAACTGTATATTTTGTCCGCTTTCTTTGTCAGTCATATTCATAGTGACAGCTGCACAAAACTATCATGCACGACTAGATTATTGTGATGCGCCGAATTTCTTTGCTTTCATTGAATGAGGGGTGGACGGTCTAGGTGAATGTGTATACATGTGCATTGTGGGATATCAAAGATGTCAGCCACCATGGACAACCAACGGTCTGCTAACGTGGAAGTTATTTTAAGCATCCTCAATTTTCTATGCATTGCACCAAATATTTTCGTTAAAGTACCTCAGATGCGGAATATAGTCAAAACAGGAAGTGTCAGAGGGCTCAACCTCAAAGCCTTCATGATGGAGACCGTTGTGTAAGTATTATTGGGAAATAGATTGGACAGCGGTATGGGCATGGCATGGGACAGGAATTCCCAGGCCAGCGGAGTCGGCGGCTAGCTGAGCGAGACGAGGGTTATACTCGACCAGCTGCATTACCGTGCAAGTGGGCGTGACGTGACCATGGTGACGATCGATCATGCGGCTTGCAGCAGGTCCATCGTTTTTACAGGCATAATCACAGACTAGCCTTAAGGGCTCCCTGGAAATGTTTTTATGATAGATTCTATGTTAATAATAATATTCCAGGGAGCCTTAACCGGCTCCCATACCACTGCACGGAGAGGCATGTAAACAAAACCTAAAATGTGTCCCAAATCACACTTTCCCGCACCCGACCAATATTGGACAGTGGCTTTGATAAATTGTATGGGACTTTTGATCATAATTACACCCAGAATATCATAATCAGAGGTAAAAATAATGAAATAAAAGCAATTTTCTTACCAGACCGATACAGCTTAGCTCCCTTTTCACTAGACCGAATTTTCCGTCTCTTTCGTTCGTTAGCCTCTTATTGGGGTAGGGTCGGCTCTCTCTTTAGAGACCGAAACAGACTATCCCGCGAAATGTGTAGGGTTATGTGGGCAAATCAGTACACCAAACTTGCAAAACTTATCCCCGAATTACTCCTTTCACAGGATGCATAGCCGATGCATTTTATATTGTAAATTAGATTAAAACTTAACTACTTCGGTTCCACTTACCAACTTGACTGAAATAATCCGATTAATGGTCCATTTTTACGAAATTATGGGTCAAAATCGATATCCATGATAAAAATCTTGCAGCGGGCGTTTAAACTCTCGCTGCGCATGACGTCATCTAAATCTCATCCCTTTTAGTCTACGCCGAAGGCAAAATGATTATAACGGAAAAACTGTGCACGAGCGACGAGTTGGATATCGATTTTGACCCATATTTTCGTAAAAATGGACCATTAAACGGATTATTTCAGTCAAGTTGGTAAGTGGAACCGAAGTAGTTAAGTTTTAATCTAATTTACAATAGGCCTGAGTCGAAACGGGTCCCCGCCCGGGCCCCGACCGTCGAGCTGAAACCCGGTTTTGGGTTTTCGGGTTTCGGGTTTTTCAAAATTGAATTTCACACTGATATTTTGAAATATAGAACTAAAAATATGCAATTCACAAACTTATATTTCAATATAATCAAATAAATATGCTTTAGAAATAAATGGATATTGTTTCAGTTGACGGTAGGTGTTTTTATCGCTCTAAAATTGAGGCTGCAAGAAAGGAATCACGCTTCGAGGTACCGATCGAGTGCGTTCAGAAACGGAAGTGGAAATAGATCTATGACCCACTGAAGACAGAGCAAGAAAGTGCCACACACAAGACTGATCAGACGATTGCAATTAAATCGTAATACTAAAGGTATTAATTTAATTGTCAAACTATATCCACAACATAATGGTTTACCCTTGATGGTTTGATGAAGGAAAATAAATTAAAGCTCTTGAAATAACATCGAAGTGCCTTTCGTTCGTTCTAAAAATGCGTGTATAAAATTAACGGCAAGCAGAAGTTACGAGTCAAGCTTGATATGCATGTTTACATCCCTACACCGTCATCCGACCTGATCGGAACAACAAGCATTTAACTAATTAAAAAACATCACGTAAGACTTTAAGGGACTCCAATTCAACAAAATTACCGTAAAATAATTATTTGCTTTGACAAATAATACTATAGATATTCATAATATCTTACAGAAATAATGATATTTCATGAGCTACGTACTCGATATCGAGTTCAGCTAGCCATCATTTTGAAATGAGACGTAGTTGTCATGCAGAGAATGCGGCTGCTCGCAGGGAGGAAAAAAATCACGTAATAGGCACGTGAATATCACGTGATCTCAGTCCCGCGCTTTTTCCTCTCTCTGCTGCATTACCGCCCTCTACAGTTTACTGCATGACAACTACGTCTCATTTCATATTGGTGGCTAGCTGAACTCGATATCGAGTACGTAGCTCATGAAATATCATTATTTCTGTAAGATAATATGAATATCTATAGTATTATTTGTCAAAGCAAATAATTATTTTACGGTAATTTTGTTGAATTGGAGTCCCTTAAAGTCTTACGTGATGTTTTTAATTGGTTTAATGCTTAATGTTCCGATCAGCTCGGATGGCGGTGTAGGAATATATGTAAACAAAACTTGACTCGTAACTTCAGCTTGCCGTTTATACACACATTTTTAGAACGAACGGAAGGCACTTCGATGCTATATTTCAAGGGCTTTAAATTATTTTCCTTCATCAAATTATCAAGGGTCGTAAACCATTATTTTGTGGACATATTTTGACAATTAAATTAATGCCTATTAGTATTACGATTTAATTGTAATAGTCTGATCAACATTTTAGTCTTGTGTGTGGGGCTTACTCAGTCTTCAGCGGGTCATATTTCCACTTCCGTTTCTGAACGCACTACTAGGTACCACGCACGAAGCGTAATTCCTTTTTTGCAGCCCCAATTTTGAGCGATAAAAACACCTACCGTCAACTGAAACGATATCCATTTATTTTTTAAAGCATCTTAATTTAATTCAATGGATTATTTTATTGTTTTGAAAGTAGTAACTGTCTTTTCCGTCGCATTATTAGAACAGCAATTTAGTCTAACTCCAGCCGTTGCATGCACACGATTTTTAGTGTCGGTGCAGTGGTGAAAATTTCGGGTACCCGGTCCCCGCCCGAAATTTTCAAGTCAAACCCGGGTTCGGCAAAACCCGTGATGACTCAGGCCTAATTTACAATATAAAATGCATCGGCTATGCATCCTGTGAAAGGAGTAATTCGGGGATAAGTTTTGCAAGTTTGGTGTACTGATTTGCCCACATAACCCTACACATTTCGCGGGATAGTCTGTTTCGGTCTCTAAAGAGAGAGCCGACCCTACCCCAATAAGAGGCTAACGAACGAAAGAGACGAAAAATTTGGTCTACCTTTTCACGTGTACTGTGTGAATTCACGATCTCTACACAATGTTGATGACCTCTGACTGGCACTTCGTAAATGTGCTGCTTCCGTACAATGCGCTGAATAACACTCATACAGCGCATTACACGGAAGCAGCACAATCACGGAAGTGCCAGTCAGAGGTCATCACCATTGTATAGAGATCGTGAATTCACACGGTACAGGTGAAAAGGGAGCTAAGCTGTATCGGTCTGGTAAGAAAATTGCTTTTATTTCATTATTTTTACCTCTGATTATGATATTCTGGGTGTGATTACGATCAAAAGTCCCATACAATTTATCAAAGCCACTGTCCAATATTGGCCGGGTGCGGGAAAGTGTGATTTGGGACACATTTTAGGTTTTGTTTACATGCCTCTCCGTGCAGTGGTATGGGAGCCGGGGCTCCCTGGAATAACATATCATAAAAACCATTTCCAGGGAGCCCTTAAGGCTATCACAGACAGATATGATAATTTATGTTTCGTCTTGTTAATGTGATTTCTTTCAAGTTTCAGTTAAACTAAGTCCACAATCAAAGCCAAAGGATTATTATTGATCAGATTAGGCCTATTATTTATGCCAATTACTATGGCATGTTTGTAAATGTGGAGCCCGTTTCTTGAAACAACAACAAGACATTTTGACTTAGTTTATAGACAGTACATTTATCCACAAACTACAGAGATGTCTCTGATCTTCCTGAACCATTTCACGAAGAGCTTACTAGCTAGACATCTCATGAAATCTATACTAAAGTATATTGGTGAGCAGTTAGAGGAGCCCAGACATAGCCCTAATCGCAATTCCACCGGATTAAAAAAAAGTAATTTTAGAAAAACTGCAATTATTTAAATGAATCAGAAATGAATTGTGATGAATTGGGTTGTTTCATGAAAGTGATGAATCATTAAACCAATTCCACGACAGTCATATCTTTGTCTGCGACCTACGGAGATGTCGGGAAGCAGACAAGCCATTTCACAAAACCATCATGATAAGCGACAAGTTCATGATTTAGATACCGTCGGCTAAAATAATGCGGTCTTTGTCACTTTCCATCAGATTTTATCCTGAATTACAAAGGGAGATTATGAGGCTTAATTTCACTCAAACTGTTTGAAAAAGTAAAAATCTAAGGGAGTGGTAGCAGTAGCACAATGGTACATACATGTCTATCCAATTTGCATGAAAACGTGTTACTAATTGAAATCTAAGAATTTATCAAATTGATGAAACTCAAGGTTGCTTTGGTGAAAAGCTAATCAAAATTTGCAGGTGGTAACTCGCGTGTCTGACTCTTGCTCAAGCTAATTGGTTTTTGATTAAATTACACAGTTTTTTATATCAACCTTCAACAATGTAACCCATTTACTTTAAAGTGAACCAGTAACCCGAACTGTAAATTGTGTATGAAATGTTACTTAATTACCGGTAGGCCTATATTCCTTGTACTGTACTAACCCTCTAATATGTAAATAAAATCCTGAACAAATTCTCAAATCACCTATCAACACCCTCTAACGGTAAATTCTCCCAACCAAACTTTGAATATTCCCCAACAGTTTTTCCATGAAAATAAAACATCAAACAGACTTTTTTTAAATCTTTCAAATTTCAACACTTAAATGTTTGGAATGGTATATAGAGCCAATTCATTGCTTTGGGAGACTTCAGGCGTCGATCAGATCATTTTTTCTCAATTTCTAACATCAAGAATGGTCTTTTACAAACTTTCAGATTATTTCAAATTGGCATCTAGCATTGAAGTCACTACCTTAGCACCATTTTCTCTCATCTGAACAATGTTAACAAGTCCCTTTAAAGCATGGGCGTCAATCCTTACGTACATGTAATACCTATTGTTCAGGGGGGGATGAATGAATAGATCATCCCCCCCTGAACAAGAGGTATTACGTAAGGATTGACGCCCATGCTATAAAGATACTATGTCCCTTTTGCAGCCAACCTCAAATTCTGTAGAACTTTGCAGGAATTTTGCATATGTCATATACGTCCTATCTGTGAAATTTAAACGTTAGCAGTGTCCTAATATTCAAATAATGCAAGGAAACCTGTTTACTTGCTAGACCTCACTGTCAGACACTATTGAGTGACTGACTGGCTTTTTTTCTTCTTTGGTGCCGGTAATAACATACATAAAATGAGCTGTAAAGGATTTGTCTACATCAATAAACCCACTTCTTGTAATGGCCAAAATTAGACTGATTGAATCTTTGCGCAGCATAAAAGGTAGGACCATGCGGTACAATGGTCTGAAAATCAAGACTTTTACTTAATGGCTCTATAGCTCCTATTTTAAAGTCGATTTGACAACTAATAGTCGTTATTTTGCCACTTAAAGACATTTTCAAGCCCACTTTTTTTTTAAGGGGAGTTTTAAATTAGTATTATCTTTCAAATGCCATTGGAATTTAACCTTTTCATTTTTTGGGCAAGCAAATGGGACATAGTACCTTTAAAGCCACACTGTAGTACTTGTACTAGCTACTTGCTCCCTCTATATAGAAAACAATGCCTAATCAGTGACCATTGGTCCTCCATGATCCTCTTTTTCTTATGTTAATTAAGAGCTGAGTTGATGAGAAAACCACCTGTCCGATGACCTTGCAGGGTGGTGAAATCCCTCCTATAAACTTGTACAGATAAGCTTTAAGTGGTTGGAGAACCTCTCCCTTAAACTCTCCCCGTGTCCACACACAAATTTTTCTGTGATTAGGCGTGATTAGTTATACCGTTTCGGGATAGTTACGATGAAATTGTGTGTATGGACGCTTACTTACGATACGTTGTATAACGAAACGATGCCTAAACATGCGTTTCGTTATACGACGTATAAAGAATCAAGCCTGATCATGTGTTGTGTGTGGACGTAACTAGTATAACTAGTCGAACTAGAACGGTATAACTGGGCGGGGCTTAACGTGACCTCGAGCGACATGAGACCTGACCTCTCATTTCCGCTTCCATTTCATGATCGCAGTAGCAAACTGCCCCCCTATACGACATTTTGCTGTAGAGTTTCTGCATTACTTTCTTTTGTGTGTGGACATCCTGGAATTTATACAATGATTCTTTATACAACGTTTCTTGTGTGTGGACACTCTGAAATTTATACGATGATTCTTTATACGACGTTTCGTTATAGAGTTTCGGGATAAATTGTTTTGTGTGTGGACACGCTGTCTATTGGGAACGAGATGTTAAAGCTTATCTGTACTAGTTTACAGGAGGGATGAGACCACACTGCAAGGTCACTGGACAGGTGCTTATCTCATCAACTCAGCTCTCAATTAACATAGAAAAAGAGGATCATGGGGGACCAATGGTCACCGATTAGGCATTGTTTTCTATATAGTGAGCAAGTAGCTACCAGTAGGACAGTGTGGCTTTAAAGAAAAACGATTCTGAAAAAACATACCCTTATCTAAATTGTAGCCAGTAAGGGTCAACAGTGTGTACAGCAGGCTTCTATATGTGATTGACCTATAATATTTATAGGCTATATTTAATCCCAGCATTTTCATTTTGTTTTGTCAGTTACATGGTTGGAATGCTGTATTATTTCACCAATGATTTCCCATTCCTGGCCTATGCAGAGTACGTAGCTCTTGAAATTCAAGGTGAGTTATTAGGATTCTTTATTAAAATTGTTACTAGAGGTCCAACAGCAACAACAAATATATCTAAGACGGGGGAAAAGGATATTTAATCCTGAAGGGCTCATTTCAAGTGGGAATAATATTTCAGAGAAATAGGGATTAGAACATTTGAAGAAAGAAAAAAGATTAAAAGAGGAGATTCTCAGCTTTACAATGGTATATTACTTGTCACATTGTGATTTAAAAAAAAAACCCAATTATAAAAAGGAAAAAGAGAGAAATGTCCAGTTCCAAAGAAAATTACTTTCGAAAAAATACTTTCAAAATTGTGTTGTCCATTTAAGCACCCTGACTCCCAATGTATTTGTGCAAGGTGAAAGCAGGGGGATCAAAAATCTATAGAATGCTCAAGGGATATTGTCTCAAAACCTGCGCACTAATTGAGCTGATTTAACTAGGGATTAGGGTTTATCCCCTTCTGTCTCTTAACAGACAATATGTATGCAATGAATATTGATATGTTGAATAGAGTGGATACACAATTACTAGTGTCCCCACTGGCAGGCTGCTGTAGGCCTATTTTTCAAGCTAGCTGGTCTACATCTTTCAATAAGTGCAGCGGAGCAAAATGCTAGCCAGTCACAGCTTGAAATTACCAAAACGTTATGAGAAGGATCATGAAGACTGATATTTTTTAAATCTGCACAAAATCTTACCCAGATTATAAGCTTTTCAAACCTTCTCCTCCACTTAAAATTCTGTTCTAACCCCCTTATCTCCTAGGGTATATAACATTGTCACAGCTGATGTTTTTGTCTACTCTTTTCCATAATGCATCAGGTGAAATTGACTATATATTGGTGTTGCTAGATGGCACTGTGAATCCACCGTTTTATTGATAGTATGAGTTTATGATAGAATTTCCAATGTACAGCTCAACCGTGTAACTTTGCAATCATCTCTTCTTCTTTCCCATCCAGCCCTGTTCATGGTTCTGATCTTCCTACACTATGCAGATGATTTGGACGTCAGGATATTGCCAATCGCTGCTTTGTATCCTTTAAAACAAAACAGTCACTGTTGTAGCAATCAACCCCAGGGGGTTGTTTATCAAAGACTAAGATCGATTTTAAGTTGTACTTAACGGTAAAGACCAGTTTTGGAAACGCCCCCCTCTCAAAAAATGAAATGGAAGCTCTTATTACCAATCATGTGAAAGAATATGTTTTGAGTAATACGTGATCATACAAATTTTGCAGAGAAACCGCCTACTAATGGATATATTTGGTAAATTATTATATCTATTTGGACCTGATAGATGTAACGCACTTGTCGCGCACGTGTGCGTAGTCCCATATACATGTACATCTTTCTGTGTACAGTGCTTGTAACTTTACCAAGACGGGGCCAAATTTCTTATCATTTTGATGATTTCAGAACCTTGCAGTACACACCAATACTTATATGCTAGATGATCAACCTTTTCTGATCAATTCCACAACGTTTCTTTCACAATGCAATCGCATGACCATAACTGGTCTTTGTCTTAATAATAATAATAGTGGCTACTTGTATAGCGCACAGGTCCACCTTTCGGTACTCATGGCGCTTGATCTATAACTATGGCAGGCCATTCGTGCCAGTGGTTTCTCTCACCATTGTTCTCTCAATTATGATCTTTAGATAACATTTTTATCAAAAAAAGTAAATTCTGTAGATTTATCACCATGATTTGTACGTCTCTTGAGAAACCAATGCGAGGAATGGTTAGACGAACTAGTGGCAAGAACGGTCTGTCATAGTTAAATCCAACTTAAAGTTGATCCTAGTCTTTGTGAAACACTCCCAGGCCCTGTTCAAAGATCCAGCCCAGGGCCCTTTTTTATAAAAAAATCTTATCAACATTAAATGTTGAAATTCTTTGACACATTTGCTATCAGCCAATCAAATGCAATTATTACCGTAGCTTATAACAATTATCATATCTTGTTGTTGATAATAACTTATATGAAACAAGAATCTTGCATACATGTACATGTAGAAACTAGAAAAGGTCACATTTAAACCTCACTCAATTAAATGAAATAAAACTTGATTTATGGAACCATTTTTCTCCTTGACAACACATTTATTTTCAGATTTTTTCTTGTGACGGCCATCATAGGGTCAGGTTCTATGCCGGTGTCCATTATTTCTTTCCTCTTTGTAAGTATTCATTTGATTATGAATTAATAGGAAATCCAGCTCATTATACAATGTGTAAGTCAGTATTTATTATCTATTATACCCCTATCATACCCCTTATACTGTTCAGTTTTTAAAAGATTTAAAGAAAGAAAAAAAAGAAAAAAAAATTATAGTAAGATCATAGTATTTATTTATTATACTAGGGGGCACTTCATACTGTTAAACTGTTTTTTTTTCTTTCTATCATTATGTTCCTCATGATCAAATACTAATCGGGATTTAGCATGGCTGCTACATTTAGCAGGGGAAAAAAATACTTTAAACATTTTGGGGGCTACTTTTCAAGCTTGCTTGCATGAAAATAACACTCTTTAATTTGTTTTGCATTGAACCCTATGCAAAGTTTTGGGGACTCTTTTTTGACTTTCGAGGGCTCTTTTCAGCATTTTGGGGGCTAATTCGCCCAGAGCCCCTGTGTATATTTTTCACTGACATTTAGTTTATGATAGCCCCTACTTCCTATGAGGTTTCCGTTTAATACACCTGGGTCATGAGTGGCAAATGTATATAAGTGTTGTGCTAAAGCCAAAGGACATGGGTGTTGTGCCAGGGATTGAACTCATGATCTTTTGCATCACCGGTTAGTTGTTCAAGGCACTTGACTACAGCACCTCTAATAAATGCACACCTAAATATCCATAGATAGGGCATTTGGGGCAATATAATCAAATGTAATGCATAAATCTTTGTTAAGTGCCTCAACACTGATATTTAATTCACCTCAATACAAATATTCAGTTCGCCTCAAAACAAATATTCAATTCGCCTGTAATGTAAGTAATAATTGTATTTCAGTAGTTAGAATGCAAACTGCATACATTATGTGTTGTTAGGTAGGGCAAGCCATAATGTTAGTCCTACCTAGCAACAACTAATGTATGCAATTTGCAGAACTCAATTTGCATTTTGACTATTGAATTACATTTAGTCGTAACAGGTGATTGAAATAATTTGTAACGAGGCACTTGACAAAGATTGTTGCATTAAATTTGATTACAATACTTAAATGGCCTATTGCACGATTGACATTTCCACTATTATCATTAATTATTATATCAATATTATTTTTCTCTTTTTTTTCAGTCAATGAATATGCCTCTCCAAGCAGGCAGTAAACTGTTAGCACTCAACACCATCTATAGAGCAAAGAACTCAGGATCAGCTAGCTTACTTATGTGGTCTATCTCAGGGCTTACATCAACAGGTGAGTAATTAATTATAAAAATAACATTAGGCCTGTCTTCATCAGCTCGAGTTTGCCAAACAACCTGCTTTTTTAACTACCGGTATCCCGATCACAAATTAACCAGTTAATTTGCATCTTCATCAGCTTCATTCATCATCATATTTGGTTGAGAAAATATCCCAAGAAAACTTGGTCTTGTTTCCAAAATATCCCGCTATTTGGGAAATAGCAGGCTAATTTGCGCCCGTCCGAGCTAGTTTGTGATGAGCGTATCGGTCTGGTCAAGACGCAATTTTGAGCTGCGGGATATTATCCCGAATCTGAAAATAGCGGGTTATTTGGCAAACTCGAGCTGATGAAGACAGGCCTAGTATGTCTGGTTTACCCAGAGTAGCCTCATCAGTACTAATACATTTCTCCCTGAGGGCCCTGCAATCAATCATATTATTACCCCGGCTAGAATCGAGCTTCCTTGAAAAAAAAGTAATCGAAGCAGGTCCATGAAAGTTTGAGAAAATGCAAGAAAAGATGATATATACATGAACATGTAAATGTATATGCAGTCACTTAAAGGGATCCGGTAACTTTGGCTCAAATTCTGAAACAAAATTCTGGATTTAGCTCATGCTGCAATGATAGTTATAAACCTTTAGGTCAGTCAGGAACCCTATGACTTTTACAAGCCGATCGCCTGTCTGATTATCAAGATATTTATGATTGGAATTACAAATTTTGAAAAGCGTTTGCCAAACGGTTTTCATAACACTACAGTCTATTGGGAAAAACGAGTATGGTTAAACCGGTCACTCAAAGATTTTTACTTTTTTGAGGCACTTCTTTTGAAGCGCAATTTGTTTAGTGCTTTAATATTTCACCATATCACAGACACTGATAACACGTATGGCCGTGTATCTCAGATTTAACATTGTTAAACGATCTCTTGAGTGATCACTGTCCAAATGGATGACATTATGATTTTCTTCACATGCTTCTCTCTTCTTGATGTAATGAAGGAATTGGTGTATTTCATAGAGGACATTTATACCGATCCATGCTATTACATGTTTGGGGAGAGTCCTGCATGGGCATCATTTCACAAAACCTTCGAAATCCCATTGTAAGACATGTTTATTTTAATAAACAAGTTTCAATTGGTTGTCAGCGAACTTGTACTTACAACAGTTTCATGAAATGCTGCCTAGAAGCCACTGTAAATCTCCAAAATCTACCTATTTTTGAGCAGATGTTGTGAATACTTAGTGAATCGAAGGAGCCTGTTATGTACCTTTTATTAATTTTAAATAGAAATAGGGCACCATATAAATGCTGTGAAACATCATCATCATCATCAACAAGTGTAAAGGAATGTTTTCTCCCTTTCTTTCTCCTCACAGGTCGTATAGCAACTACTCTCATGACCAAACCTGACTTATTAGGTGAGAATCCTGCAGTTTATCATCATCATCATTTTTATGGACAGGTTTTCTTGTTTGATTGTACTGTTGTTATATCATTGAAATGAATTAACACAACTATTTCAACAAAGTCCATAACCTTCCTTTACACTGCATACATGCATTGCATGATGTTTTAGATTTCGTACAGTGATGCGTACCCTTAAAGGTAATGCAAAGTGTTGGGAAATTTTAGATATTGGATGGATTGTAAATTATTTAAAATTTGATATATTTGTATGCCCCTGTGGATGTATTAGCACTAGAAAATGTAGCCCCTAAAACACTTCTGCTTACGAGAAATTGAATAATCAAAGTTTACAAGTGCTCCTGGTAAATTTCAAATATATCAAATAGCGCTTAAGGTCATTCCATGGTAGGTGCGACCATGAAAATCTCAGAATATGCAGTTCTGATATATAATATCCAAACAGGAATAGCAAATCAGTCGATTGTAATCAAGAAACATTGTTTTTATAGCTAAAGTAATATCAGTCTTGAGAGGGAGCTTTACAACATAAAGAGTTTATTATTGACAATTTCATCAATTTAGATTCGATTTCAACTGTGATAACAATCATTGAATATTGTCAAATCACATACCCGTAATTAACGGTGTATAAACCGCCCTCGTGTATTAACCGCACTGCACCCCTCTTTTTCGCCCTTAATTTTTTATTTTTTTGTGGCCGACTCTGTCGGCAGCAAGCCAGGTCTGTGTTAAAAAACCCACGCGGGAAGGCCTTTCATTTAACTGCAAGGTGCAGTTGATTGTGTAAGATCATTAATGTAATTTTAAAAAAACAGTAGAGGACCTAGGATAGAACCTAGTGGTACGCCGTGTGTAGGAATTATTATTATAAACTACATATTGAGATCTATCAGAAAGATTACTTTCAAACGAAGATGACAGACAAATTTGAGTGTTGTGCTAGTTTCCGATGATGAGTCAACACAACGATTACTGAGCTGGGAGACATTGCCAGGCATAGCGCCAGGTGGAGGGGGATAAATCAAAACTTTAAAAACTTTTTTTTTTTTTTGGTGTACCATGTATAAACCGCACCCCCGACTTTGATTTTTTTTTGGCAAACAAGTGCAGATAATACACCATTAATTATGGTAAGGTCAAATATGTTCATTTGAACCAAATTCATGACGCCATACCAAAACTTTGTATTACCTTTAATGCAATGTCCATTTATCTCTGTTTCTCCTAATTCTGTACCAGTGCTCACCAACTTCACAGTGGCGGCATGTCTAAGTTTCACCGTGTGCTGTGCAATCATCGTCTACCGTCCCAGCGAGAAGAAGTTTGAGTAGATGGGAGACCCCTCGGACATTCCAACCAATCATTCCGACCTATCAAAGAAGCCCCGCGGGTGAAATTTCGATTAGCTAAATCTTGTCATTGGAAGTATGTGTTCAGGTTTGTGTCACTTCTCTCCAGTAATGTGCCTTAACACTGCAGCTGACAGTATTATATCTCTACCCTACCAGGGGGTGTTTCACAAAGATCCTAAGTTGAACTTATCTCTAAGTTGGACTTAACATTTATAGAAAGCCGTTAGCATCTATGAAAATATTTTGTAAAAGTTTATTTTAAAGGCATAAAATGTTGATTCATATCATTCTTATTTTCTTTTATCAAGGAGATTTTATGTTCTTGATGTGGAATTTATAAAAAGTCTAAAATACTTGAATTTTCGTTTTTGAATAAATTTTATTTTAAGGCTACAAATGGCTCTCCATGATTATTAAGTCCAACTTAGAGTTAAGTTTAAATTAGGATCTTCGTGAAACTCACCCCAGGGGGGTGTTCCATAAAACTGTGCGTAAAGTAACGCATGACTTTACAAATGCCTTGAATATGAAGAGCTAAAATGAGATTCTCAAATCCCTTTTGTTGCATAAGCTAAAGTTGAAATATGCAGATGTAGATTAGAGATAAACTTGAGTTCTGGTAAAAAAAAATCAAAAAAAATCTCACAGAATCAAAACGAAACTTACACTGAATGTTCAAGATTACAAATACCGTAAATGTCATGTGCCAAACAATTTTGGAAGAAAATGTATACCGTACTGGCTGAGTAAGGAGCATAGAAAGATTAGGAAATCAAGGTAAACTAGCCCCGACACCATTTGTGTAGTCCCATCTTTCTTTGTACAGTGCTTGTTACTTTACCAAGACTGGGCCAAATTTATTATGATTTTGATGACTCCAGAACCTTGCAGTACACACCAATACTTACATGCTATATGATCAACTTGTTCTGATCCATTACACACCTTTTCTTGCAATCACATTACCAGAACTCACCTTTATCTTTAACCTTATCATTACTAACAAAACATTTTAATGCAAAGTGTATTTTTGGCTACAATTTAACTGAGATTATGGAAAATACAGTCACACTTTGTGAAAATGTCGGAAAAAACTTTGGGCATCCCATTTGCTCTTCATTTTCAAATCTTTTGTTTCAAGTCATTCGTAACTTTACGCACAGCTTTATGAAACACCCCCAGGAACTTCATACATGATGAATACAGGGTGTGAAGTGATTAATGTGGCAATAAGACTGACAATTTGAGATTTTATGGTAATTTCATGACGGGTAAATGAATGAGAAATTTTACAGGGTTTCGAATGAGTAAGCATATATTTCAATAGTATTCAATAAAACATATAATTATAGATTGAAAGTAAATTTTCTGTCACGGAATTAGTATTGTTATTACTATTAACGAGCAAATAAATAGTAACAACTGTTACAGTGATACCAGTTTTCAGGAAATAGCCTGAATTCAGGCCATAGTTTAGGCTTTTTTGCATATAAAATAGCTCATTCTAGGTGATTTTCAGGCCCTCTGACCAATTCTTACTTGCATCTCTGCTTTTACTATTACTATAACTATAATATAGATATTTCCCCACCGGAATCTCACATTTACTATAGCAAATCCTCCCCCCCCCCCCCCCCCCAAAAAAAAAAAAAAAAAAATTGCAAGCATATATTTGCTTAGCAGTCGGCTTGGCTTGTTTATGTTTTTTTTTACTAATTAGATGTATCTATAACGATTCCATGTTCAATAGGGACTTTTAGATTGAGTGGACGAGAACATGACGAATGCTGACTGACCATGCGTGTCAACGTACTCAACTGCCCATGTTGACAACAATTAGAAATCTTGTAGATTGCACTCGACGATATACATGCATGCAGGAAGTAACACTATCAACATGACGGACAAACAAAGAGGACAAAATATACAGTTTCTCATTCTACCCTCAAAAATTGCTGTGGTAGACAAAAGAACATCCCTTCACTGCTATTACAATGTATGTAAAAATGTGTAGAACAGGTGAATATGCATGTTTTTACACATTTTTACATTATAGCAGGGAAGGGATGTTCCTTTGTCTACCTGAGGAACTGTATATTTGATGTGCACGCGGCATACTAGTACGTACTAGATTTAGGAAAATCAAGGTTGACGCATTCTCGATCGCCGACTGAGATGACGTGACACATGCGCAGTGGCTTAAAATGATGTCACACGTTGCAGTCAAAGCTGTCGACGTGAACATTTAAAATTCCCTATTATAACCCTTCTCATACTGCCTTCCTAATCTTGAGCTAATATTTAGCCTTTAAGTGAAGTCAGGAATAGAAATGAATATTTTCTCTATTTTTCATATCTAAAGTCTTCTAATTTGTATCAAATTTAAATAATACATGTATTCAAAAGGAAGAGTACTTTTTAATATATCTTTTTATACAAAAAATTACAGTACAGATCCAAACTATTTTTGTATACAAAGTGTCTATGATTGTGTGTAAATTAATGTGAAATTAATGTGAAGTTTACGCTGATGATATATGTATTACAGTGTATACAAGAATGTTTATTTGTTCTCTGATAAAATAATTTTCATGTTTCTCGGGCAATTCTTAGGCATCGTTGTTCCATATGTTACCAATGATTATAAAATGGGTTCAAGAATGTAGTCAATAAGAAGCGTCGAAATGGATCACGTGTGCGTGCATTCATTTTTATGCCTCTGTTACGAAGTAGCCGTCATGAGTCATGAGGTCAAAGATCAAAGGGTCATACATGTATATGAGAAATAGCTTGTAATCTCGATATTCTGAGAACCTGTTAATGGATTACAGCCCAACTTGAATTTGAAAAATTTCTTCCGTTTTGGTTTGTAAAATTGCTCTATGACGGAGGCATCACTTTTGACTGCGCGCAGTCAAAGTTCCATCTAGTTACCATATGCACAGAGAGTATTTTTTCTTGATATTTTGTGTGATCCAAATGCTTCTAAGCTTATTGACTTTACACAATTATCAGATATACTAGAAGCATAGATATAGTCGACTAGACAATAATGTAAATGTATAAGTTGCAAGAACTACTGGTACTTACCCAACTTTGCAAGCAGCCTTCATGATTATGTTATTTAAAAGTGAAGGTGGTCATTGCCGCTTTACGACAAACAGCTACTACTATGAGACAAAGTAACCCTGAACTTGCCTGACCATCAAGTGTAAATGTATGTATAGAAATTCTATTCAATGAATTAGAATGATGTTAATTTGAAATTTCGTTGATTAATTTGAGTGATTTATTCTTGCTTGCTTGCCAATTCTTGTTACTGCAACTACAGTATTTGGCTGTAGAGGGCAGCACCAGCCATGGGCATATTTGACAAAAGCGCTTCCGGTTCCCATACACATACAATGGATCGAGAACTGGAAAGTCTGATAGAAATGATATTTTCGGAACCAATAAACTATTAATAACATATTGTGATGGTGCCTACATAGATCTCATCTTATCATCTGGGGAGTTCACGAAAGTTAAACGATAGATTTGCGAAATAAGGAATTAGTTGACACTGCTGTACATTCTCTATGCAAGCCGGAAGAAACCTTGTCTTATCGTCTTCCCCAGTTAGGCAGTATCGTATCTGCGCATGTGCTGGCCTGTACAGTGTGGGAGGAAGGTCGCCATCTACTGTCGAACATCGTGTTTGTTTAAAGTCTGAACACTGCTTTTACACTTCATGTTGCCTATCCCATAAAGACATATGTTAAAGGAAAAATAATATTTCTAATTGGTTATAAGCACCTTACCTGTATTATAGAAGATAACTATAAATATATGATAAAGATAACGATAAGGGAGTGAATTGTGATAAAAAAGCTTGCATGGCAGGAATTCTTTCTTTGGAGTGGAGATGGTGCACACAATGTGTGCAGGTTTTCATATCCACTGATTGTGGTGATACAAACCACATAATTTAATTTTCTCAATGTTATAATATTACTATTGTGTGCTAGACAAATATACATACTGGTATGTAGTTGATTATAATTGAACTTTAATATCTACTGAAATGATTTTATTTTATTTTGTTAGACCAGTTTACTAACATCAAATGTTATGCATACTTTTTAAACAAAAGTTTTTTCTTGGCAACCTGAAAGCTTGCTAAGACTTGCCCAACATAGCATCAAGTAATGTAGGCAGACAGGATTCCAAGTATTGTAGTTAATTCATTAACAACAGGTTAGTGGAATACCTCATCACTAGGTCCCTAGGAAAGAAACATCCATAATACAGTCAAACCTGTCTACAAAGACCACTTGTCTACAAGTACCACATTTGTTGTTTCCCTTGAAAATGGTTTCTCATTGAAACATGTACTAAAGGAACCTGTCTACAAAGGCCACTTTCTGTGTTTACCTTGGGCGGTCTGTAGATAGTTTTGACTGTAATATGTTTAGTAAACTGGTCTGTTTATGAGGGTTGAACATTTCTAGAGTGGGGAAGCAGTTGAATTTTGAATGGTGTTTATCGTATATTTTGAATGAGTGGATAGTTTGATTTATTTTATTTTTGAAGTGCATCTTCATTTTAGATGAAATAGTGAAAAGCCAAGTTGTCCATGCTGCTGCAATTAGCATGTTTTTATCATCAAAGTATCCCCAATTTAGAAAGGGATATTTTTATTATCTTTCTATTTTCTTCTTTTGAAATTCTTCTTGAATTCTGCATGATCTGTTCAGCTTATATTTTTAATGAATGAGGAGTTTCATTTCTTTTATTTTTTAAGTGCATCTTCATTTTAGATGAATAGTGAAATGTTGAAAGCAAAGTTATACGTACTGATGCAAGTAGCATGTTTTTATCATCAAAATATCCCCACTTTTAGAAAGGGATATTTTTTTATATTTTATTCTTTTATTATGCATGGTCGTAGCTTAATTAGGCAGGTCAATCATTAACATTGGAAGCCTGAAAGCTAGACTAGTATGTCAGATGCAATTCAAATTTTGTTTAAACGTTTGATTTTTGAAAACATTTTGATCAAGATGTGTGTGCGTGTGTGCTGTAGTGTGCAAAGAAAGTGAATTGTGCTGCAATAAATGTGATAAAGTTTGAAGACCTAGATTTATTGGACATAACAGCATGACTGGGAATTAAGACTCCCAAAATCAACCTTAAAGTATTTCAAATATGTTATGCATCACCTATAGATATTTGAGAACATTGAA